TTGAAGCCAAACTCTTTGAAACACTTACGTTTTTTTTTTAATGCTTTCGAACACAAATGCTTGAAAGCAAAACTTTTTGAGGCTCAATCAAAAGCATACACTTTGAGGGGGGGGGGATAATAATTGGTGGTTTTGTTGTCAACTTTTTTTTGGATGCACAGTAATAACATAAAAATAACTTATTTTTATAGCAGGTTGGACTGTTCTGTTCATGTGTGATAATATAGAATATTAAGTTATAATAATCTTGTATTTCCCTCCTTCCATATATAAATGTGTTACTGTAGGGCAGTGCTTCGGAAATCATCAATAAAACAGCTTGTCAATAGTCATAACAGTCGTAAAAGAACATTTACCTCAGAAACGCCAACATTGTTTTATTATTTTCATAAATCAGTCAATTTTTAGGAGTAGGTGGAATTTTCACATTAATTAACTTTATTCACACAACATAACACAACTTTAGTTGGTCTGTTAAAACTCAGTGGGCTCAGGGGAGGCAAGAGAGACACGGACTCCTGCTGTAACTTTACCTGCTGATGTCGCTGTTGAACAGTGTTTCTTTAGAAAAACTATATTAAACTACATTCAAATTATATTTTGTAATATTGGTGGTGTTTGTTTTAATGTTCTTCAATATTTAATTTATGTTTGAATAAATCCGTCAAGTTTTTGTGACAACCACTATTTAAATGTTTATATTTCAATAATGAATTGGATTAGAAATGTAATTATTTAAAGTTAAAGTTAGTATTATAGCTTTAATATTACAAAAACTTTACTGAGTAGGCTATATTTGAAGTGTTTGTACACTCTAAAAACTGCTGGGTTAAAAACAACCCAATTTGGGTTATTTTGGCAACCCAGCGCTGGGTTACCAAAATATATGGCAACCCATATATTATTTTGATTATATAAAAATAATCGATATTGAATCAAATCGAATCGCAAGCTTGTGAAGGATAATCGAATCGAATTGTGAAATTTGTATAAAAACCCAGCCTCCCAAAAAAATAATATATATATATAAAAACACAATCTCATCATTTTGACTTTATTCTAAAAATATTATGGCACTAAAACACTGCCATATTTACTAAATTACTTAATGCAAACACATTCTTGGCACAGTGGACCAAAACGCAAAACAACAAAAAGAAAGAAAAAAAAAAGTACTCACTAATTTTAGTTGTAATTAATTTAATTTAATTCTCCGTGCCTTTCTTTTGGCAAATTCATCCACAATGTCCTTGGTATTTAATTTAAGGCTTTGTGTATTCTCAATGTAAAGAATGGCTTTCGATAGTATTTTTGATAAAAGAGAATTAAAATGAAAGAAAGATAATTAAAACTGTGCAGGTGTTGTTGAAGCTATGTGATACGGTATTTTCAACTAACTAGCTACCAACCTCACTCAGGTTTTTTAATTTTTTAATTAGGCCAATTAATTTTTATTTTATTTGGCCGTGGCAATGCAGCGTTTGCATATAGTTTTAACAAATGACGCAGTATACGGCAGCTATATAATAAATGCACACAAGAAATTACCGAGCCCTGCACATGACATGCAGACAAAAAAAAAAATATATATATATATATTTATTTTTTATTTTTTTATTTTATTGTGGTGACCATGAATTAAGAATTCGTCCCCGTCGGCGGGCCCCCAATCAGCCCAGGCCCATATGCTCATGTATACCCAGATGCTACGCCCCTGCCGTAGGGGTAATAATATTTTTACTGTTAAACAAAAATGCATGATTTTTTTCTTAGATATTTGTTTTTGGTGTCTGTATGAACTTTATTGATTGAGATCAGGGTGTCAAATATATTTGACAAAGTTTGTTATTAGCATTTAAGCTTCAGTGTTTCAGCTTTGATCAGACTGATAATATTCTGCATTTAAATTGTGCTGTTATGAGTTTAGTGAATGTCTCCGCCATTCAAATTAGTCTGCATCCTCAACCCATCAGATTACAGACCTCATCAGGGGCGTTTGATTGTTTGTTTAACTCTATAAACAAACAAAAGGTGGAGAAAACATTAGATTTAGATTAGTGTTTTACATTTTTATGCATGTGACATAAATGGTGCATCATGCCTGCGTAAAAGTCACCGCCTTATTGCTAAAGTGTTCTCAATGATTTTTAGTGTGTTACTGTACGGTTGTTGTAGTATTCTGAGTGGTTGCTAGAGTGTTGCTAGGTGGCCAGGGTTTTTCCCCCCCAATAAACTATAGTATATAGTTTCACAAATTTCACAACTTCTTTAGGCACACAGTTCAGCTATGAATTTATTATGAAATCACTAATATGTTTACCATCTCACAAATGAATATTGAGTTTCAAAAACTTAGCAGTCTCGGAAAGTGGTCCTCCATATAGCAGATGTGCTGCTGCTGCTGCTGCTGATGTAACTGTATGGAGAAACTTTAGGGCTTTTTTTTCTGGCAGAAATGCTTTTTCTGTTCAGCAAAGCCACTGGCATCCTCTCTGGCTGTGAATGCTTTTAGGAGCAGCAGTTAGCAAGCATACAAATTTAAACCTTTCCTAGTGCCAGAATCTCTAATGCGGCATAAAACTACTGCAGAGGGGAGCCAGAATCCTCTAATTGCTCATGTTTCACTACAATTTTGACAAGAGTAAAGCAATTAGCCTGTGATTTCTGAAAAGCTCAGAGTCTGGTTAGTGAAGGAGGTTCTGTGAGATCTGCTGATGGAGCAACGAGAGGAAGGACCGAACAGCTGCGAGAATATCTCAGTGATTTTAATGAGATTGTATTTGTCCATTAGCTTTCTATTGATTTGAGGGTGAGCATGTTAAGACTGATGTTTTGATAGGGTCTCTGAATTAAACTTTAGTGTGACTTTGAATTCAAATGTTTGACCCTGAGTTTGATTCATTCATGTGAATCATTTAAAAATGGCAATTTTAAAACAAACTGCATTGAAACAATCTCTATAAAAAAAGATGACTTGACTTGCAATGAATGCAATTGTTTGCAACATCATTCAAAAATAAAAAATTTTTTATACTGTATATTAAAATTAGTGCTGCAACTATTTTGTACAGTAACTAGTAAGATTATTTCGTTTTGAAAGAAATGTATACTTTTAACCTTCAAGGACACATTAAATAATTATTTATGATGCTACAAAAGCATGCTATTTCAAATAAATGCTGTTCTTTTGAAACTTTTTAATCATCAATGAATCCTGAACAAATCTAGTATGGTTTCCGCGAAAATGATGCAGCATTGATAATAATAAGAAATGCTTCTTGAGCAGCAAATCAGCATATGATTTCTGAAGGATCATGTGACACTGAAGACTGGAGTAATGATGCTGAAAATTCAACTTTTACATAAATTACATTTTAAAATATTTTCAAATAGAAAACAGTTCTTTTAAATTGTAATTATAATTCAAAATATTAATATTTTTACAGTAGTTCTAATCAAATAAATAGAGCATTGGTGAGCAGAAGAGACTTCTTTCAAAAACCTTCTTGTCTACATAATACATCAAACTATTATATTTAAAAAAAGCAATATGATAGAGACAGACGGATTGATGGAAACACCTGTTTTAGCACTAGTCTAATAAGACCGAGATCTAGTGATGTTTATGATGACACCTGCTGTTTTTTTCCCTGTCTTTTCACCCTCATCTCTCTGTGTTAATTGTCTCTGAGAAGCATGTTACGCTAGATGACAGTAATTGTGTTGTGTACACTAACAGACATGCAATCAATACCCTCATTATAATCTACAACGCAAATAGGAGGGGTGGCCTCGTGTGTTGTTTTCCTAGTTTTCATCATTAGATGATGTCGGTCCTGAGAGATGAGGAACGGCTGAGGGAATTATGTTTCGGTTTTCCAGGAGGGTGGGGGAAAGGTTTGGGGTTGTGTTTTTCTCCACGTGAGACTACGAAGATTTTGTAAATTTGTGGTTCTGTTCCCAGAATAGCTAATGAGGTATCTGGCCTATTTTAGTGTCTCTGGTCATTTACATTCAGATTCACATTTTTTTTTTTATAACAAGACTTGATGAGCCGAGAAATCTTTTAAGTACACCGAAAACAACAGGCTTTTCGTGTCAAAAATGTCAGTGTTTTTTCCCCCCATAAAGCTATATTTCTTGTGTGCTCTGCCTTCTTTTATATCAGTTGTCAAAACTGTAGAAATATCAAATTGAATTGTTAACAAGACCTAAATGGTGCAGTTGAAATTTTATAGAGGCTATATTCTGCTTGTTTCTTCCCTGAAGTGAATTTCTAATGGTTTAAAGAAATAGTTAATCAAAAAATGAAAATCTGCTGAAAATGTACTCACCCTCAGCCCATGCAAGAAGTAGGTGAGTTTGTTTCCTCATAGGAACAGATTTTCAGAAATTTAGCAGATCCAAAGCTCTGAAGTTTCTAATGCAATGCAGTGCATGACTGAGCGATGAACAAATAATCGTTCCTCAAAAGCCTGACGATCATATTTGATACACACATTTGAACATGATTTTTCTAAAAAATGATGTCTGGATAATCAAGTAAATCTAAGTTGCTTCAGTCCAGTAAGCGTTCAACTTAAAATATTACTAACAATATAAAAGTGATTCTTTCTTTTGCTTTATAAAAATCAGAAAAGATTTCACAGCAAGGAAGGAGGATATTTTTACAGTTACATTAATAACTCTTTTACTTGCTAAAAGTATAAACTATCAATCGGACAACAGAAGACGTGTAGTAGATTGTGTGCAACAGGTTTTTCAGCAAAGTTTTGATCATCTTGATCATTTAGAGGCCTTAGGAATTTGCATATCAAATATGCTACAGGATTAAAGTTACATTGGTTACTTAGTATAATAACATCAACATCAAGCACAGTTTGATTCCTCATGACCCCTTTAAGCTTATGTTATGTTTTTATGAAGTCTTAAGAGTCTTCATTTGTCTATTTTCCTCTCACCCTCTCTCAGATTTGAATATCTCCTTCTCGTTCTGTCAGGTGGACAATAATGTGACCCGTCATCTGGACGACACTCTGAAGCGAGATGACTGGGATATTCTGATTCTGCATTATCTGGGTCTGGACCACATCGGACATATCAGCGGACCCCACAGCTCTCTGATAGGACCCAAACTCATGGAGATGGACGACATCATCAAGAAGATACATGCCTCGCTCATATCAAAGGTGTGTTTTGTTTTTCTTTAGCTTCTCTTCTACCAGATCTTTGCTCTTGACCTCTTCAACATCTCTGACCTGTCCTGAAGAACCGGTGACCCTTGATGAAGCGGTCCGGTCCCACGAATCTACTCGCCCCTTCATAATGGTGCATGTCTGAGTGTTTCTCTGAACCTTCAGGGCTTTTCTGAAACCCTTGATATTTGTCTTCCTGATCTTTCAGTTAGTGGAATCATATATCAAGTTCTTCTCCACCACAGTTTCATCTGTAGCCAGTCTTGAAGTGTTTACTCTTTTTAGTGCCGTTTGCCAAGTCAGCCATCATTGTTACTATTGCTCATAGCGAGTGTTATTGATTTGAACAAACCCCTGACACTAAGTATTAAACTTCAGTGTGTAACTAAAGTGTTTTTGCTCCAGACATGAATGTTTCCTCAAATCGTGTGCTTTTACTCTACTCTGTGTGATCAGATGCACAATTTTAACTTGTTGCATGATTAAACGGGTCAAACATATCCCACAGACATGCATTCAATATCATAGGCGACCAAAATATCATAGCTTAAGGGTGGACTCTTTTTACTTGAGCCTAGCAACCACATAGAAACACCCCTAGCAACTGCACAGAATAGCCTGGATTCATGACGTCTTCTGCAGGAGCAGCAACACAATTTTTTTCAGCCTGTCAGAGTGAGGCTCATTTTTCTTTCTCGTTTTCTTCCTGAAAAGTCTCCTCTCACTGTGTTTTTACGGACTAAGCAGTTCTGCTACATTCTGACCCAAATACAGATCTATTCCCCAGTGGACCGTTTGCCTGGTTTCAACCAGGGTTGTTATAGGTATCTATAGCTATCTCTCTCTCTCTGACTTTCTATTGCTCTGTTTTTTGTGCAGATTAACAGATGATGTTTAGCTCAGTGATGTTTCACGCTGGATTGTACTGTAGGAGTGTGGCAAACAGTGAGGCGTTCACATTATAAATCTTATAGTTGCCATGGAAACATTTATATGAGTGCTTAACAACTTTCCAGACACATCAGTTACTCTCATTTCCGTCCTCATAGTTCAATAATTAGGCCTAAAGCATCACTGTGACAACGGTGAATATAAAAATGCTTAATTTTGTCGAAAACGACAAAATTCTCCTCTTCTGTATCTCTCTTCAGGAAGTTTACTTTCTGTCAGCGACTCCGCTCTGGGTAATTACGTAATTATGTAATTATGCACCTTGCGCTATTTCGCTATGTGACATTGGCCCTGACTGATTTGCTGTCTGATTTGCAGAATTAGCGCTAGGCTGTTCATGCAGCCCACAGCATCCGTTAGGCAGATCATTCTGTTGCTCTTAAAGTTTGCATTACGTACAAACAAATTAAACTTGTTTTAAATGTAATTACACCGCTTTTGTGTCATATCTACTGAATGAAATTCAATGCTCGTTTCTTACTGATTTTGTGTTGCTTATTCCAAAAATAGTGCCTGTTTTGCTTGAGCATGTCACACTTTCTTACAAAATATGATGCATTTCATAGCATTTTTGCTTTCAACAACCATTTGTAAGGTGAGGTCCTTTGCAGATTGTAAGTTAAATTACACATTTTGAATACTTCTTTTAATGAAGGGCCTAAAATTAACACTTGCCAAGCACCAAATGTCCCTGTGGTAAGTTTCCCTGCATTTTTCCACCAAAATAAATGAATGAATTTCAGTGAAAACGAGGAACGCAACACTATCAATAACGTCTCTAACAGAAATGCATCCACTTTTTTTGTCTGCCACGTGGTCTAAACATGCCTCTTGATTGGTGACACCTGTATAACCAGCTGCGTCCTACTTTAGCACCCTGCAGGCCTGCTGCCCATTATAATATCTGCATGTGAAATCTGTTCCCTCTGCAGGTGAGAGAGTTTAACTCCCTACAGGACCAGAGGAGCACCGGAGCTCCCTGCAGTATGACACATCCAACACTCATTAATCATCACAGCCCTTTATCAGAGATCTTATAGGAGCCGTTAATGTAGGTTGTTCAGAGCGTTGCCTTGAGTAACAATGAATTTTAGGACATGATAAAATGGTGCGTCAGTTAACATCTACAAGCAAGAACAAATAAGAACAACTGGAGTTATTTTAAAGGGGTCGTATCATGAAAAATCACGTTACTCGAGACAAAATAGCTCAGTGTACTGTGATAACAGGTAAATAAAAACTTACAAAAAAAGAGAATTTATACAAACTTTGTAATAGTAATAGTGATGTCACCTTTTTGTTATTTTACAGTTTAAAGCGCAACGTAAATAATAATTCAATAATAATAAATTATAGACTTACTGTTTAACACACACACACAACAGGTTTGTTTTTTTGTGAATTGTGGGGACATTCCATAGGTGTAATGGTTTTTATACTGTACAAACTGTATTTTCTATCGCCCTACACCGACTCTACCCCTAAACCTACCCCTTACAGGAAACTTTGTGCATTTTTACTTTCTCAAAAAAACTCACTCTGTATGATTTATAAGCGTTTTGAAAAATGGGGACATGGGGTAATGTCCTCATAAGTCACCTTCTCCTTGTAATACCTGTCATACCCATGTCATTATACAAATGTGTGTCCTCATATGTCACAAAAATACACACACGTATGTGTGTGTATATATATATATATATATATATATAGTATTTATTCATATTGATGTCAGTTTCATGCAGTGTTTTTAGTATCATTAATATATTACTATTTTCTTAATGTTTTGAATTAGATTTTTTAAATATTTTCTGTTTTAATTAAAATTTTTGTTAAAGTTGTAAAATTTTTTATTAGAATAAAAAACTATATATATAATATATATATATATATATATATATATACACATATATATATATATATAATACATATTACACAAGCCTCAACTTTTTATTCTTGTTATCTGATAGTGATCGGAGTCTTGCCTTTACAGCTGAGGATGATTAAAAGTCTGTTGCCATGGTTTCGAACTGCACTTCCTATTTGCCACCACACCAACAATGGCCAAAATTGGGTGTTTTGGGCTGGCATGTACATTTTCAAGGTCCCTCCACAAGTTGGAGGAACCATCAGAGGTGCTTTTGAATAATGTTGTCTTGTTCATTTCAGAAGCTCGACTACAGTGTGAAATGATGTCTGGGATTACAGTTTCCTGCTATCAGGTTTTCTTGCCTCAAAACAGAGTTTCTGTACCGTAGTTCAATAGGAAATTGATTCCTCTCTGATATCCGTTTGAATTATGCTCCATGTGGGATTGTTTCAATGTAACAGAGGGAAGAGAAGGAAATTAACATGTGAAACGAATTTAATGTCAGATTTTGAGGGATTCCCTGGAGGGCCGTATCGAGTCGGATGTTTTGTACCGCTGACGGATGCCGTTGTACAAAAAATGATTTATATGATAGAGCACAAATCAGTGTTTCCTATTGGAATTTGACCAGACCCTATGGTCCTAAATAAATAAACATCTGCTTGACAGTAATGATGTCCCGGTGATTGAGGGCCAGGATGTGAGTGTTTCTCTAAATATAATGTTCGTTGATCATGTACATGTGTTTTTATAAAAATGAAATATTTGGGCTTCTGTGATATTCTGAACATTGTTGTTCACCATGTTCCACCAGGTGAAGTCATTTACTGTTGCTGAGGTTTTGTTGAATTTCCAAGAATAATTTTTGGTTATGTTTATATTGTAATGTTCAAAATGAACACTGAGTCCAAGTCCAAGATGGACTAACGCTATTTAGGTTTACTTGATTATACATACATTATTTTTTAGAAAAATCATGCTCAAATGTGAGTATCAAATATGATCATCAGGCTTTTGAGGAATGTCTATTTGTTCTTCTCTCAGTCATCATTGTATTGCATTGCTGCCACACATTCTTGTGTTCTCTTATTCGCACTTCTCTTTCTGTCTTCCCTTTATCTCTCATTACCTGTGAAACACAATGCAGGTCTCCCTCCCCTGAGATCAGTGGGTCAGTTCTTCTCCTCTGGTCTTCTTTTAACCAGCACGTTTTCTTTCGATCTGCTCCACATACGTGGGTGGTCATTTTTCATCCATGTAGAAGCAGGAGAAACAGGCCATGAGAGCTGTTCATCCTCCAAGGGCCTCGGAGGTGCTTTCTGTCCTTTCAGGAGTCACACTCACTGATTGTGTGTTGTATAGAGTGTCTACTTGTGCATAAACTGTGGCTATGGTACATGCAACACAGATTCTGTTCACTGTAGTCATATTAGCTCTACTGCTGCCTCCATGACCACTTAGATAGTGTCATGTTTAATATCAGAATGGCAAAAGATCATGATAAAATCAGCATTAGTGTGGCCTTTAGATCCACCACCAATAGTTACAGCAGTGATTTTGACAGCTGCACTTTTGTCTTGAGATGAACTTTTAGGCTTCCAGGAAGAGCAGATGGTGTTGAATAATGTCATATCTGCATCTTTGACCTGTCCTCGTGCCATAAAGGCCACATACACTCCGCAAAGTTTCAGTAAAGTACCAGTGAAAACGACTTTTCACGCAATTACTGTACAGTGAATATGGACTGAAGCTTACAAGATTCACTCCTAATCACTCTAATTTGTGAGCAAAGCATTCAGATCAGTTTTGTGAACTAGATTAGATCTGACTTAAAAGAATGATTCTTTTAGAAATTGCACATTTCTACTTCATTATTAACTAAAGCAGATTTCAAGATGTCTAGAGACTTATTTTGGTCTGTTCCACAAAACTATTGCATGACCTTAGAAGACTTGGATGCAAATTATCTGGGCTGCTTGTGTGGAGAAGTGTGTAATTCTTTAAAAATTACTACTTTTGTATTATAAAGATGAAATTCATATGGTTTTAGAAGGACCGAGGAAATAATGACAAGTTTTTTTTCTGTTCATTCAGTTAAACTGCATTCACATCTTTTTAAGTGGGAGAACTTGCACAATTGGTGGCTGACTAAATACTTTTTTGCCCCACTGTA